CAATGAAAGAATTTTTCTTTTACTTTTCCAGGAGTGTAATGTACTAAGGGGGAGGGTTGGGAGGTGAGAAAAGTGCAACAATGAATGAATGGAAATCCAAAGTCTGTAAATTTTCATTGAAATTAATAATACATTTAAAAGAAAAATCTGTCCACTGGACATTTAAACAACAAACATAAAAGTATAAAACAAACAAACAAAAAAACCAACTTAGCTTCTGAATAAAGGTAATACCCCTTCTTCCTCAGATGAAAAAAAATGCTCTGAAGCAGCAGCAGAGAGATGTCCAAACTGGGAAAATGTACTCAAAAACATTAAGAGATTTACCTACAGAAGCAGGTGACTCACGCCCCTTGGGAGTGATGCCACCAATGACCACTTTTCTTTTCTTCACACCTACAGTAAATCCAGCTGCATAGCAACTTCTTGGTTGATTCTTCATTGGTACATAGTGGTTAGAGAAATACATCAGAAAATTCTGGTTTTAAAAGCCTTTTATCCGTACAGGAGTTCCTAAAAGTTACGTTCTTGTTCTCATCAGTAGAAGATGGTATGAAGTGTTGTGCTCAGGGTGTTGCTGGTAAATAAATGCAACTGGCTTTAGAAAAGATGTTGCAAGTTCAGAAGGTGCTGTCTTCCCCGATGGAAGCATTTCCAAAACATGCAAACTCTGCTCCAGTAAACACTGAAAATAACATCTGGTTCTCAGGGTCACTTGCTAACTTCAGCTTCCATTTAATTTAATTTCATTCCATTTAATTCTTCAGGAATACGATTTCCCCTCTTGTTTTCTCCCAGCTCCAAGCCTATGTTTCCTACAGCCAAGCCATATAGTCCAGGTGGGAACAAAATGTTATGTCAGTGACATACGTATTCACTCCTGAGCCCCAGTGGTAGAGGCAGGTAACTCACTATTGTTATGTGCCGTAGAGTCGCTTGCAACTCATAGCGACCCCATGTACAAAAGCCCTAAACCCTGCTCTATCCCTTGCTAATCTTTCATACTTGAGGGCTCCGTCTCAGTTGCCATATCTGCTAGTGTGCTCTGTTGTGCATAGGGTTTTCAAAGGCCTGCTATTTCGGAAGTGGATGGCCAATCTGTTTTCCTACTCTGTTATTAGAATTCTAAAATCAAATATATGAATTCAGTTTAAATTACAAAAGAGACAACGGTTAAAAGTCCTCTGAAATCACCCTCCACCCTTTCAAACTTGGTGACCTTCTCCAAGTCCTTCCTGGCAACATACCCAAAGTATGTGAGACGAAGCTTGAAAATCCCTGCCTCTAAGGACTAACTCCGTTTCACCATCTCTAGGACAAAACTATCTGTCCTCCTGGCGGCTCATGGTATGTTCAATACTCTTCTTCAGCACCACAATTCAAAGGCATTAATTCTTCTTCTGCCATCCTAGTGCGATTGGCACAGGACAGAGTGGAGTTTAGGGCTGTTGTACATAGGGTCGCTATGAGTTGCAAGCGACTCGACGGCACATAACAACAACAGCCATCCTTAGTCACTGTCCAGCTAATGCATAGTAAGTAATTGTGAAGACCGTGGCTTACATCAGGCACACCTTAGAGATATTTAAATATTTCAACTTCTAAATGGATTTAAAGATATCGAAATATGAAAGACTCATAATCCAGGGACTATCCATAAAGGTTCCCCAATAAATTCTAATAGAAAAGCAACAGAAAGCTGTATGTATGTGTGAATAATTGTGTGTGAGGTATTCTTACTTGTAATAGTAAACTAGTTCTTTTTCATTCCTAGATTTAAGCTATTATAACACAGTAAGGGCACACCAAGCAGCGAAGACAAACCTAAAGGTAGATGTCGTTCAGAATCAACACCTCTTTAGGATGGGAAGACCCAAAGACTCAAGAGCAGTTATAGCATCTGAACACTAGCCAACAAGGAATTCCATAACAGGAATATTTCAATGTATCCATTCTCATTAACTTAACAGGCTTTGAACAACGTAATCAATTAACATATTCATTGTTCTCTTATGCTTTTGCCTCAAATTTTTACTTCTTTATGGATCAAAGCTCTGAATACTTGGGGAACAAAAGCTCCTGTAAAGCCATCTATAGAAAATGTAGAGGCACCAAAAAGTGTCAGAATTCATTTTTCACTATTTAAAGGGAGCTACAAAAATGCGAAGGAAAACAAATCTACGAAGCAGTTTTACTTTTATTTGCATTTGACATAATTGTACACATTCATGTGTCTAACAAGATCTGCACTGTTACATTAAAAATACAGTACAATAACATTCAACATGAGGTACTTCATATTTATATTTTCCTTCATAAATAATGTTGTTAAGCTACTAATTCAAGCACCCTGATGCACAGTGGCTACAGTGTCCTGAAATTAGCTGAGCTTATTTAAACACCTTAAAAAAAAAACCAGACAGTTCAGTGCAATAATTATGTAGAAATTAGACCATTTTAAATACTATTATAAGATATGCTAAATGATACATTAGAACTGCTAAACTAGTTCCCCCAATCCCCAGTACTACAATGACAAAGACTCCAGGTACACTGAGAAAAGAATCTACTGCATATTCTGTTTAATAAAGTTGTGTTTATATAGAAGAGCTGCCTGCGATAGCTGCTAGTTTTAAAAAGCTATGAAATTAGAGATTACCAGAAAAATAAAGCAAGCACATCAGCCTCATTCCATTTTGCCAAAAATACAGGAGAATAGGGTGTAAAATATAAAAAATTATTTTTAAATACAATTTTCAAATTTAACCCACAGCTTTTGGCACAAGCCAGTCCAACCGTGGCAGTGCCCCCTTCTTCTGTGTCTAAGTTTAATGGTAATTAGTGTAACATTAAGCTCTTTGGTCTCACTGTGGCTTTCACCAAGCTGTTCCCTCAGCATGAGGAGGGCAGGCTGCCCGTAGGAGCACTGACTGGAGTGTTAGCAATGAGTAATCTTCACTCTGAGGTATCACACCCACCTCAAAAACCTGATACAATGAAATTCGTGTTAAATAGTGTCCTCTCCTCTGGCTCAAAATGAGTGCCTTCTAATCAGGTACAAGCCCACCAATCAGCATGATAGGCATAAACCACTAAATCCTTTTAATCATAACTGAAAACACCAAAACCTTCTGTAGAAGTGGTTGTTTTTGAAATTGATAATGTACCTTCACTGATGCTTTGCCAAAACTACCATATAATCTTCCTAATAGGAGATAACTGTTTGCTCATTTTGGAAAGTTGTTTAGGGAGTCCTTGTCAATAATGACCATTAGCAGCTTCTGATCATCTATGGTAACAGACGAGGCAATGGCAAAGGTGATTAGAGAATTTCCCATAATCCAGTGTTCTCCTCCATCAGGGAAGCTGGCCAGAGGCCCATGACTACAAGGGAAGAAGTGGCCAGAAGCACAGTGGACAAGGGAAGGGTAGGCATTTGCTGGGGCCAGTGGGGGGGCCATATCTGTCCCACCTCTCACTAGCCAGGCATGGAGGAGACAATTCCTGAGTCCGCGAACGCACCTAGTGTGCGCGTGGGCGCGCATGTACACACACACACCCCTGGACTAACTCCTGGCTCCGGTCAAGCCAGCTTCAGGCTTGCAGGCCAGGAGAAGGAGGTGGCCGGCGACCTCACTCTGGGTGGCGGGAAAGCGCTCTCAGGATTACACCGAGCAGAAAAGCTGCTCAGGAAACACATGGATACTTCAGCTGGAAGTGAGCACAAGGACACTGCCAGGGGCACAGGCACAGAACCATCACAAGCCATCGCGGAAGGAGACTTTGCTTGATGAGCACTTGGTTTACGTGCCCATCGGCAGAGAAGAGTGGGATGTGATGCTGATGCAGTGGATATTATGGATAAAGTAATGCCATTCCAGACAATATTTTATATATATATATATTAACAAAACAAAACCCTGCAGGCATATATTGGCACTTTAAGATGGCCAGAGGCCAGATTCTAGCAGTCCAGGAACAGGACAGAATTCTAATTAAGAAGATAGTACATAGTCAAAGCAGACCACATAAAGTAAATTCAGACTGAAAACAAAGCCATGACCATAAATGCCTACATCAACATGTAGTGTCACAAAACTAACTGCCACCCTACTCATCCAAAGAGCTGTTTGGTCCTCTTTTAATGGGGAGGGGGAACCAAGCAAAGACAGAAAATAAAAAACAAGGGAGAGAAGACTTTTGCTTCTCCAAACTGTGTATTTTAATGTGCCATTAATCAAAATATTTTCAGTATGGGACTTTTTTAGGCTTCTTTTCCAATCTGGTTTAGTAGAAATTAATAGGTCTTGTGACTTTTTTACTACTTACAGGATAATTTTACCATTTACTTCCTTCAAAAAAGGAGCATCTTTACTTCAATATTTCGAAATCAAGATAACAAAAGTCACACCCCAAAGAAACATTTGATTTCTTATTTTCCTTTTCCTATTTCACATGGATGACCTGTAGTGTTTTTACTACATAACATTATAAATTTATGATCTGAAAGGAAAGCAAAGTCCAGGAGTGAAAAATTTAAAAGAATGAAATAAAAAGCCATTTGTGATTACCATCTACTTTCTAAATTATGATGATGCAAAATTTCTTTCTAAATGGCACACTAAGGTTTACCTTGGGGGGGGGGTTCCAGAGATTTATGTTAAAATTAACTTGTCATTGGTATTTTCAGCTATGTGTTTCTATTCATCAAAATAAAGCCCAAAAGGAACTCTGAGGTGATTTCAAATCATTTTTTGAGGGACAGAGCTGAGAGGTCAGTAGGACAGGTGGAAGAGCATAAAAGCTGTCAAGGTGTACAAATGCACTTTAAAAAAAGAAAAGCTTGGTTCATTTAAGCATACAGTTTAAAAGCTGGAAGCGGCAATTTTTTTTTTCCTGTACACAATTTAAAGGTGAAAAGCAATGAGAAATGCCAATAGCTTCATTCATTACAAGTCAGTCACCTGACCTGACCCTATGTGGGCACAGGTGAGCGAAGCATCCGGCAAGGTGGAACCGGCTGTGCCCCTCGAGGGCTCCCCTGCTTGCAGAGAAGCCTTTTCAAGCGTAGAAGATGAGCTCGGGGATCTGGCCGCCCTGCACCCCGGTGCCGTTGGTGCTGTCCGAGGAGCACTGGAACTGCACTGTCACTTTGCCACACTGCACCTCCGTCATGCCTTCCTGGCCGAAGTAGCTGAGTTCGTTGCCGTCGAGGATGACGCTGGCCGTGTAGAAGGTGTCCGGCTCGATCTGCACCGGGTACTCGAACCACACCGGGAACGTGTTGCTGGAGCCGTCGGAGAAGTACTTGCTCAAGTTCTGGCCCAGGACAACGCCCTGGCGCTTGAGTTCGATCTTGGCGCTGTACTCGGCTGAGCCGCAGCTCGAGCCGTACAGGCCGAAGCCCGCGATGAACACCCTCTTGTCCACCGCGAACTGGATGCTGTCGCAGCGTCCCCGGTAGCGCCACTGGTTGCTCCGGTAGGCACAGGACTGGAAGCGGTGGCAGCGCTGGGGCACGAGGCCCTTGCGGGCTTTGCTCACGAACTGCAGCTCTGGCTTCTTGGCCGCGGTGTACCAGAGGAAGATGTCGTTGGTCTCGTTGAGGGTGAGGACGCCCGACTGCACGGCGCCGTTGGTGAAATCGTCCAGGGGCCATGGTCGGTATCCGGATCAGGTAGAGGGCCTTGCCAAGGACCTTACGTTTGTTTTCAATGCTCAAGGCTAGATCTTGTCGCTGGCATTCGACTTCAGCCCAGTTGAGGGCTGCCTCAAAAACCACAATTTCTTTGGCATTCAGAGTTTCCCTGCGGAGGATGCTTTCTAGAGTCTGGAAGTCAATGTCACAGAACCCCTCGGACTTGAGGGCCAACTCGGCCTGGGCATCGATCACCTCCCAGCAGCGCTGGGTCAGGTCCGGCTCCTCAAAGAGGCAGCTCTGGGAGAGCAGCACGCAGGCGTTCTTGGCGCTCAGGCTGGTTTCCAGGAAATTAACGCAGGCTCTGGCAAGGTGCGGGACGATGTACTTTTTGGCAGCATAGAGAGTGGCCAGCACTGTGTCAGCAGCCAAGTCAATTTCATCACAATAGATGTATCTGAAAAGAAGCACACAGCATGTAAGTGGGGCTCATGAGACAAGAGCATCCGGCTTACAAAGATGGAACTACTTTCAAGTCAGTGCTAAGAAAAGTCTCTTCTCTGACAGGTATTAAAAAAAAAAAACCCAACCACAAAAAACCAACCAAAACAAATGTTCAGAGACTAAAGGAACATTTGGAAAAGATTCATAAATGACAAAATTATACACATATACACACCGTAGTAAGTGTGTATGGTTAGACACTTGATCTATGTCTTCAGACTTGTCTTTAGTTTATCAACTGTATTCAACACATTTTCATCAAGAATAGAAGATATTGGGGTTAAGAAAGAACTACACGTTACAGACAGTCCGTAGTAGGAAAAAATAACTTCTGCCCTGGTGGTGTACGTGTCACAGGTCATGCTGGAAACCGAGAGGTGAACAGTGAGTAGTGTGAAGCCCCTAGCTGCTCCTTCAAGGACAATAGTGAGTCTCCTCTCAGAGTCATAGCTTCAAACACCCCATGAAGGGAACCAGGAGTTGGAATCAACTCAATGGCAGTGTTTTTTATAACTGGATCTTATCAAAGAACAGTTCCAGTATGTCTCAGTAACAAATGTACAATTTATTTTAAAATCTTTCTGTAGACAGAAAGTAAATCCTTTGATACTTTTTAAAAGCATATGACTTGGATCTTCCCTAAACAGAAAATAAGACCTGAAATGAGATACAGTATTTTCCAAGCAGTTTCGAGTTCAGTGGATAATCAAATATGGATCCCAAAGCTATCTTCCAGTTAACTTTAGAGAGAATTCAATATGGGCTTTGTATCTGCCTTGTTTTTCTTTTTAAAACTCTTCCTTTCCCTTCCCACACACTTCTTCCACTGTCAGATTACAAAATACATCATCTTCAGATATATTAATTAACAGACAAAATCTTAAATATGCAATGATTGTGCACTACTGTGAACTGCTAGTCCTATTTCTGGAGATGAAACATACTTCTCTGCGTTCAGGAATTACAGAAATGTTCAAACAAGGTAAAAATCATCTGCTTCTTTCAGATTACATAAGAGAGAGGCAACAGGAAATATACAGGAGGGAAAACAAGAGCTGATACCACTTCACTTAAAAATTTTTCCCATCTGAAATACAGAGGTACTTACTTTTCTCACTTTAGTGAAACACATACTGCTGAAAGAATCAGCAAAACCTTCCATGAGAAGGACAGCAGTCAGAAAACATTCCACAATCACTACTGGAAGCAGTGTACTGCCATTCAGATGACCTATCTTTCTCTCCACCTACCAGGCAGGCTAAGGCAGCTCCTACTGGCAGGATCATCAGACCAGACTCCCCCAGCTCGGAGATGCTGTGACAGCAGTGCCGGTGCTGCGGTTGGAGAGGGTCACCGACCACAGTTCACACTCTAGAGCTCTCACCATGTAACTACTCCAGGATCAGAACACCCTACTTCTCAACTGCCCCCTTTCTAGGAATCACTGTTACTTCCTCTCAATGCCAGAGTGAGAAAAATTTAGTCTTCCCTATTCCACATGACAGCCTAGTACTGGCCAACTACTGCATAAAGTAAATGGCACACTACAACATTTCTTATTTTTACTATTTTCTGTGGATTGAATACTTAATTTTAAAAATGGTATATATAAAATAATATATTCTACAATAAATCTGCAAGACAAAATACTTTTCAAATGATGAAGCCAGTGACTGGGGCGAAATGTAATCCTTTGTGATTCTTGCTCCAGTTCCTAATTATGTATACATCTGGAACAATGCAACACGCCACTTGACTGCAGTAAAGCCAAAATGCTCCGCAAGGGCTAGCATTCTTAGCAACACATAACCCTGTCAAGTATAAAAAGCTGTGACTTTTCTGGGAAACAAACAAGCAAAACCCCTTGCAGATAATACTGTTTTCTGCACACAGGGTTACAAAGTTCACAAAGTCTTGGGTGCTTTAAAAAGGTAGTTTAACTCTGATTTTGCTTGCTTGTCTTTAATTTCACTATGTGGCTTTGAACCCCTGACCTTCTGGTAAACAACAAAGCAATAAATCACTGTGTAATTAGGGCTCTGCTGTGAAAGTTTTAGTAAGTAGCAAGAAGATTTCACAGATATAAATACACAAATATATTTATGTTCAAGAATGACTGATGATAATACAACACAACTACTGATGGTGCATTTTTTCAGTAGCAAGCAGACAATACATATTATCCATTTAACTCTTTGTGGGCTTGCTGGCAAATCTGGTGATCCCTGAGTAAGCTTGTCTAGGGGAACACTGTCTTTACCCAGTGAACTGCAATTCCTAAAGCAGTATATAACCTTGAACTGATACTCTTTGGTGTAGCAGAACAAGGAATAAGAAAATCATATAAACATTATTTCAAGTAATCACTGGATTTTTAATCATCTTGTAGGGTATCACACTATATACCTCACCAGAACTTGGTGCTGTACAATGTGACAGCCAATTCTATTTACTGGCTTAGCAGTTGTAGAGTTTGGGAAAAAAACAAACAAACAAAAACAACGGACTAGATGTTTCATAAATTAGTATCATACAGCTTTACATTTTATAGTTACAAAGTTTTTCTTTCATTTATTTATAGAGCCTAGAGAAAAATTATTCATATTCTTTCAAAAATTCCTGTTCTACTATCAAATGCAAATGATTATTCTTGAGAAAGGATGTCTGATTTTTGAGTACACATACTAAAGTAATGGCAACGCATATGTGTGCACAAAGATCAGATTATTTCAACAGACAGGTTTTGCATTTGTTGATAGCAAGGCTTCTAAACCATAGAAATATTCTAACTGGTACTAATAAATTCTCTAACTTAGGTAAAGTAAAAATATAATTGATTGAAGACTACTTCACAATGTTTTCAGACAACATGGTCTAATAAACAATGATTATATCAGAAAGTTCTTTTCCTTTAAGTGTATCATTAAAAACCAAATCACTATTCATGCTACTTGTCCCCCAGAACCCACATCAAGGTGTGATTATAAAAGCCTGAATCTTTTCCCTACTGCTCCCACTGAAAAATGCATAGTGGTTTTCTTAAAAAAAACACACACAAAAAAACCCTATATATACAAGGTAAGCAGCACCCCCTTTCTTCATCGATGTTCCCAATTCCTATAACACAGAACTCCGATTCAACTGTGAGCCCCACAGAGTCCAAATGCAACATAAACAAACTCTTTCACAACATATGATGGATGCTTACTTCAGCATGGCGAGAAAAGCAGCAGGTTCGACATCTGGTATACGGATTTCATCTTTGTCCTCGGCAAGTTCTCCATAAAACATTGCATGGAACACAGAGCTCCCAACAGCTAAAACATACTGTGGAGAAAGGGAAATCTTATTTCATGCACTAAACTGAATGCATTTGCAGCAAAATCAGTCCAGGAAACCAACTCTAAGCCCAAAGTGCCTAAATCTGCTCCTTTGAAAAAGCAAAGGTGCAGTGTATTTTGCTGTGGGGGAAACCTAAGATACTCATGCAAAACAGTCTCGATGCTGTTAGTTATCCCAAACCTTTGAAGGATTAAGGCATAATTTCCCTCAACCATAAAAAATTGAAAAGCTTATCTGACTGATGTCCAGATAAAGGGTAAACAGACCAACGGCTTTCCTAACCTGTCACAACAACTCTCAGAGATCTTTTCCCATTGGCACAGAGAAAAAAGGGCACATTTTTGTACAGCATAAAACAGGATAGAAAAAAGACAAAGAAAAAAAAATTAGTTGTGCCAAAACCTTCAAGAGGCTGGGCTTCCTCTGTGACTGGGTAGGACATGCCCTGGCTGCCATCAGCAAACTGCCCACCCCAAGTTTCAGGCTCACAAAGAGGGTCCCTCCTTTGTAGGTCTCTAACCCAGTAATGCAGCTGTTGCTTACTTTGTGTCCTGGCAACCGCTGAGTCCCACCTGGTGGCCCAACCACAAAATGAACATCTGCCATCAAGTCATTATTGAACATCACCGCATTTCTATAAACAGAGGCAAGTCATTAATTCACAAGAGTCAGTATTTAAATGATCCCCCCAAAAAACCCCAACTTGAAATCTCAGCAAGAGTTTGATGACTTCGGTGCAAAACGGCAAGTAAAGGTTTCCACTAAACAACTGTGTTTGTAATCACTGCAAATACATAGAAGTCAAGTCAAAAAAGGGAAAAGTTACTCAAACTTTTCAAAAAGCAAAGGGCAAATAAAAGATTTTCACCGTCTACAGTTCAGAGACACAACCTTGTCAGTTAAATGTTACAGCTTGCAAGAACATTTTTATCTAGGAGGAAAACAGCTGGACAATTTTGGAAAAGATACAAGGCCGTTTTCCATTACCAATCAAGCTTCTGGGAAAAGAGGAAACACAAGATTTGTGTTCAAATACATTTCAGGTTGGGCAAAAGCAGAAACTTCAACACAGGAAAACTTTCCAAGTAAACATGCTGGCCCAGTACTTACCTCTCCCTGATGGTGGGATATAGGCCCTGCCAGTTTGGGGCTGGAATAAGGTTGTTGTTGCTGAGATTCTGCTGGTGGTACTGCTGGACAGTGGTGTTGCTGGAGCTGGCTGGTTTTTTACGAGGGAATATATCAGCAGCCATCTTCTTCTTCTTTTTAGTCTTTAAGGTGATAATTTCATAGCAAACTGGGGGCAACTTGCTGCTGCCGCTGGTCGTGGGGCTGGCTTTCTTCGAGCTCTTCTTGGACCTGTTCTTGACTGTCTCTGGAAGCATCAAGAAGAAGGTGAGACATTTCATGTTCTTTTCCTTGTCATCTACCATGAGTACAGTCTGTCTCGTTCTATAGACAGGTATCACAAACCGGGGTGAACATCCAAGAAAACAGCCTAGCTCTAGCAAGTATGTTAACAGAAACCAGCACGCTGACAGTTTTGCTTCTTCTTCTCTCAGCCAGGCAAGGTGACCTTTTCACTATGTTGATGAGAAAACTGGCTTTAAGTTTTATCCAGTACTCGGTCTGTTAAATACATCCCCATCATGATTCCTGTTCCTCTTAGTTGTTCATAAAAATCACCCAGTTTCCTAGATCACCTGGAAATGCTGCCCTGCATGGCCAGGGCAGGCACAGAGCTGCAGCGTTTGTTTTCGGAATTAGGTTAGGAAGACGCTGCCGGGGCCCCTCAGCGGCGGAGTCTGCTCGGCGGCTACTGAAGTTGTGTGGTGAATGGATCGGAGGAGAGTAGGTGTTACAGCCCTGCAGATGGAGTCAGCCAGCCAGCGCTCCGAGCCAATAGCTGAAGTCACTGATCATGATTGGACCAAGCAAAACAGTGACACCTATTGTAACGTGCACAGTTCTGATATTAAAGGAACAGCAGTTGCACTCTTGCCTACTGTATATTTAAATAAGATAAACCACATGCACGTATTTGCAGACAGGAAGAGGAGCTTACGCTCAGATTTCTCCTCAGTAAAATGCACACATTCCCCCACCCCCCCCCCACCCCGTGAAAAAGGCAAGATCAATTAACAAAGTGTAGGGACTGACAGCTACTCGACCTCTGGACGGAAAATCTTTCCCTGACAGCATATTTAGTTTAACATTTCAACAGACAAGAAATGCAGTCTATCAAAATCTAAAAAGGATTATTATCACCCAAACCATACTGAACACATTTATGACAAATTTAAAGTAGAAGTATTTTTTTTCTTCTGCTTGCCCGCTTTCTTTGAATGCATGCTATTATCTAGTGTAAGTAAGAAAGATGAGGTCATGCATTCCGTTTTCTAATGTTTTCTAGCTCTAGTTTCCTCCTAATGTTTTCTAACTCTAATAATGATCTCTGACCGGTGTCCCAAGTCACAAAATGCTGTTAATTGGACTGGCACTCTAACATTAGTGCACTGAGCTGCCCTGAACCAGAAGACAAATTCTAGATGTAAAACTAAGACTCACATGAATGAAAACTGCTAATTGGTATTTAAAAGGCTGAATTCACAGAAAATATGTCAGCTGGGACCTGCACAGGATCTTAAAACCAACCTTAACTGTTATGACTGAATTTAGCTTTGCCAAAGTTTAATCCCTAACTCACAGCACACTGTGGATCTGCCATAATTACCAATTTGTAAAATAAAACCAATAACGAGGCTATTCAAAGTGATACATGTTTTGATACTATCTGGCTGAAATGCAAACAGGTTCTCTCTGCCTTGAATCTGAAGAAAATAAACTACTATTACATGGGACTCACAGAAGTGCATCCTATTTCCAGCCATGGTAAGATAAAACAAAATTACCTGCACTAGGTAGGTCCCACGCAGCGTTATTTATTTTGTCAAGCGAGGCTAATAAGGAGACTTAATCTCCCCCTTCTGCATTTGGAGGACTCTCATTTGTTCAGTGGGCAGCAGCCCCTTATCCCCCCCTACCCCCAATCCCATTCACCCTCCATAACCACAGCCCTGCTTGGTGCACAACACTTGCCTGAATAATGTGGGCTGGACAGAGAAGACTCAACAAACAGGCACTCGGCATGGGATGATTAAAACTACAGTCTACTGAAGATAACATGTCAGAAATCAGCGTCTGCATCCCTAGGATCTTGTCACCAAGCTGAGCCAAAGCCTCTCCTTTTTTTATTGGTATAATTTATTCTCCCTAATACTGTTTACAAAGCCTCTGTGTAAAGATGCTAAGAGAAGCCTCTCTGACAGTAGGCTGGCTGGTTGGTTGTCCATCCCACTTTAGAGGGACCCTGCAATGGTGCTTAGTCATGACCACCAAGCCTACTCACACAACTAGCACACACGTGCGCATCTACGCCATCTCCAAACTGCTTTCAAACACACTACAAAGACGGTAAAAGAAAGTTTCAAAACCTAGTTTTTTTTAAAAAAAGAAAAAGAAACAAATGAGCTCCTCAACTATTTAGAATACAGTTTCAACCACAGGGTTTCTCACCTGCTCAAACACAACTCCTACTGCTTCCCCCATCCCGGGAAAGCCCAGCCCCAGCACGGCCTTCTTGCTTGGAGTAAACCCCATAGATATTTCTAAAAAGGCCAGTGGTCTGGGTTTTCAGGATGTTGTTATTACCATGAAGTCAGAACTAATAATGGCTGATCTTCCACTGGGGTTTCAGAGGCTGTAAATCAAATGGGAGGAGATGACAGGTGGATTAGAGCAGCATGCTTTTGGGTTATCAGCTCAGCAACGCAGTGTAGCTGCTAGCCCCAGACCCAGAGCCTTGAGGTAATAAACTGGCAAAAACCTAGAACCAAAGAATTCTACAGTCTCTTCGCAAGGGATCCCTAACAACATCTGGCATCACTTTCTCCTCTCAATTATGAAGTTAATGGGCAAAGAACCCGAAAAGAAATTAACTTTGTTTTAGATATAAAACTTAGCTATTGATTCTCCATCTTTTGTTCTGAAATTCTCACACGTGGCTCGCTCTTTTGGCTGCTGTTGAGCCCGCTCTGACTCATGGTGACCCCATGGATATGAGCTGAACTACTGCATATGGCTTCGTATTCCAGGCCTTAATCTTAACAAAAGCAGGCGCCCTGCACCTTTTCTTCTGCAATATCACTGGTACATTCAAACTGCCAACTTTTAGGTGGTGGCTGCATGCTGTCAAGTCATCAGAGCCGACTCACAGCTAACCCTCCAGTTGTTGTTGTTGTTACGTGCCGTCGAGTCGTTTGCGACTCATAGCGACCCTATGTACAACAGCCCTAAACCGTGCTCTATCCTGTGCCAATCTCATTGCCTCTGACACGCCCATCCCGATTATGCCAGTCACCGAATCAATCCACCTCATAGAGGGTCTTCCCCTCTTGTGCTGTCCTTCCACTCTACCCAGTATGATGACCCTCTCTAAAGACCTGTCTCTCCTTAAAACATGTCCAAAGTATGTTAGACGAAGCCCCAGAATCCTTGCTTCCAAGGAGCAGCCTGGCTTAACCCTCTCTAGGATGAATCTGTTTGTTTTCTTGGCAGTCCATGGTACATTCAATACTCTTCTCCAGCACCACAGCTCAAAGGCGTTACCCAGGAGGAGACTGTCCATTTCAGATCTATTTCAGATTTCTATTTCTGTACCAGTAGAGCTGCTGGTAAATTCCAACTGCATGTCTTTGGGATTGCAGTGCAGCTTCTTACCACTAGGCCACCAGAGCTCTCTTTAAGTTAACAGGACATCAACTACTTGTGTCATTTGTGGGTTCTCTAAGACAAAAAAACAAACAAAATACAAAAACAAAACAAAACACCAAAATCCAGATTATTTTAAAGTATGATGATAGAGGATAGTAAAGGAAAAAAAAAGATTTTAAAAATGCAACTATAAAGAAGTGATACTACTTTTTCTGGTGGCCTAGTGGTCAGGAGCTGTGTTGCCAACCCAAAGGTGGTTCAAATCCATCAGCCACTCATGCCAGAGAATGAAGGGCAATGATGAGCAATCTCCTCTCATGTGATTCATTGACTCTGAAGGGTGAACTGGGAGTTGGGTCAAACTAATCCATAGCTGATAACAACGAAAACCACTTAACATTTTAAAATAACCTAATTCTACCTCAGAACATTAGCAATGTGGCACAGTGAAAATTACATGGAAGATTAAAGTAGATCTTTAGTGTTCCAGAAAGAGAAATTACAGTGTTCACCTGCTATTCAGAATAATCCATGACCCAGAAACACAATAAATGCTATGAAAAACTAATATGAAGTATAAGTGTCATTTTGTTCCTGCTTTCATTTTCATAGCATACTACATTAAATCCACATTTGGCTCCTTTCCTCCTTGAAATTAAAATACAAAGTTAGAACTCTATTTATCAAGGCTTTAACCCAGAATCTTATCCACAGAGTTGAATGATAATGAGAAATACCAGTTACCTATTGCCAAAGAAAGCTCTCTGGTGGACTAGAGGTGGGACTGCGCTGTAATCCCAAAGGCACACAATTTGAACCATCAGCTGCCCTGCAGGAAAAGATGAACAATCTCCTCTCATGCAAGTTACTGCCTCTGGAACCCCCCCTAGAGGGTCAGCTATGAGACAGTTCCGACTCAAAAGCACGTTAACAGCAGCAACAGAATTTCTTTCACGTAGGGCTCTAAAATTTGTTCCTCTTGAATCTTTTAGCTATTTCAAGACATGGTTAGCAAATGTACTCTAACCAGTTAAATGGTCAAAGAGCCCATCAATCCTCCACAGAATATTCCCAGAATCTGATCATGTGGTATGTTAGGAGGTTGAGGTTAAATGGTGAACATGGTAAGTACTAAGCTTAAAAAGCTGTTTGTTTTTATGAACCATCAAATCAGAAATGACACATGGCTGACCCTCCAGCAGGCTTTTGAGAGGCTGTAAACTGCATGGAAGGAGACTGCCCAACTTTCTCTCATGGAGCAGTTGGTGGATTCAAACCGCCTGCCTGTGGGTTGGCAGCACAGCTCTTTACCCACTAGGCAACCAAAGGTCCCTAGGCAATTCATTGGTGAGCAGGACGGAGAACCAAGCTTTAAAAGGTTAGCTAGTAAGAGTGGATTTCAGGTGACTTTTAGATTGCTAGAAAATTGTTATCACTTCTATGTGTTCGTGTTTTTTCCCCCAACTAAGACAATTTAAGCTTAGCTTATCCTTTGGTTAGTGTTGCAAGGAAGCTACAGCCATCCTTCATGTATACAATACAATCTCTCTATTGTCTGGACACCTCAATACAGTGTGGCTCGGAAAGGGACTCTAGAAATGATTTAATGCAACTCAGTCTCACAGATAAGGACAATGGATGCCCAGAAGATGACGGGATTTAT